GTCTGCAAGTAACTGTATATTTGTGTGCAACACAAATCAAACACAACATCTGTCCCCGCCTGCAAAACAGTGAATGACCGTTAACAGAGGAAACAGAGGTGCACGATCACACCGAATAAGCCAAAAACAACATCTTTCTCTGTCTCTGTGTGTACATGAGAATGACAGGCACAAACCTGTAGTAATCAAATTGCCACTGTTCGTGCATGAGGCTCCTGACTTACTTTTTCAAACTAGTTTCCGTGCATGTTTTCTGTGATCAAATTAGGTCCATGTTGGATTTTCTGCTCCACTTCCTGGGTCTGTTCTTGGGATTTTCTTTTTCTGAGTCTCTCACCTTGAAGTTGTGTTGGATAAATTCATTTCACAAATTCTTCCGCCTGCTTGCATCTGGAATGGTTTTGGTTTTGTCTCTTCCACTTCATACGACTATATTTGTGACAGACAATAAACTGGACTTTATATAAAACATTTCTTTAAAGTTAACTTATCTTTGGGTTAAAGAGTTATTCATTTATGTAACTGAATTGAAAAAAGCATGATACAGTAACATTTGAGTGCATAGATTGGGTTAATTTAGCTGATTTAAAAGCCTGTCGGTTTATAGAAGTTGTTCAGCAGACTGAAAAACCAGGCTTCTCTAAAATGTTTTGTATTGATGTAAAAAACCCAATAATTTACTATTCGTTGCTATTTGCAAAATTTGATGTCATGATCCTATTTCAAACTGCCAAATGCCCTTATTGTGTCACAATTGGCATTTATGTTACTTTTTGCTCTCCGATGCTTTCTCTTCGTTATCCACTGCATGGTCACAATGCCCAAAAAAACTTTTTGGGGATTTTTTTTCTTCAAAAATATCCACATATCTAAATCTACTGAGAAAGAAACAACAGCGTATCTGATTTGTGTGGGCTGCACTAATAAATAAATGGCTTTTTATGTGGTACGTTTTGTCTCAGACTGAACAATTGTCTGGATAAAATGTGTTCGTATTCACTGCACACTTAAAGGCTGACTTTTGCTTCTTTGTGCGTCTTTTAAGTAGTTCACAGAGGAGCACTGTAGGCACACCCTCCAGCTAAACACAAAGACGTTCACTTTTAAGCATAATGAGTCACTAATAAAGTCTCCATGCTAAGTTTAACTTTACTACAAAAAATCTCTGTCATAATTTAAAAAGGCCACTATAACACAGTATGGAAAGACATTTAGGACAAAAATGTGAAAGTGAAAGTCTAAGATTAATGGTGTAACGGCAAAGTTTTAAACTATTTGAATGAGACTGTTTGTTAAAGTGATTTTTTATTTATTTAACCATTTCCAGCAGCATCATTTCTATATGACACAGTTTAAAATTGGTTCAAAAAACAAGAAAAATAACTGTATTTAGCCTGTGTGTACAAACACATGGTGAGCAGCGCTCTCCTAAATGCTCATAATATGCTACATAAACATCAGTAACAAGAATGTTTTGACTGCAATCAGGATTAAGATATGCGCACGGCAATATCTGTGTCCGTGCTTTTATAGTCGTAGGAGTTTGTGTCAGAACCACTTTGTTTTCATTTTGGATTCGATCTGGAAAATAATGGAACCCTGATTAGCTGTTGATGTTGCTGCTGCAGACAACAGTAATGACAGAGGGTATAATTGAAAATGGAGTATTCTACAGTAAGCAGCATCACATTACTCTTCACCTCATTCTCCAGCAGACTCAGGGGAACAGAGAAATGGAAAATATGGGAGAGCACTGCTTCACGTGGAGGAAAATCAGATTGTCATCACTCTCCATTTCAGGCCGCCTGTGAACCTCCTCCACCCCCCCACCCTCAAACACCGCCTGCACACGCTGACCTACAGCAGCACCTACTGGTAGTTCAGTGCAACATTTTCTGTCTCCTCGGCTAAATAGATGTCGTCTTTTTTTCTCTCAATTCCCTTTTTTTGGCAGCTTGTCATCAGAGTTAGAGTTGCTTGAGTTGAGAGACAAGGCATGTTATTATAAGAAAGGAATCTTAGCTAATGAATAAAATATCAATGAAAATCATTAAAGTTTAATACAGAAATCCATATCAAGATTGCAAACATCTATTACGCATTACTGGCCACGTGTGTCTTTATTAAATAACCGTAACTCTAGATTATTGCATGATACTAAATGCATTTTTTATGATTCCATAGCTCATTGTAATAACAGAAGAAATTAAATTCCCTGTCCCTACCTCTAACATGATTATATAACTACCCTCTGGGGTAAATGAAGAGTTGTTGTTTTTTAAATAAACAGAGTTCCTATTCCAAATACATTGATAACTGAGCACCGTACTGCAGCCGATATGCTTTCCAAAGAGGCTTTACACCCTTTGCAACCCTGTATAATCCACCTTTTCAGAAAAGCATTGTTTCTTCAAATCTCCGATGAACAAGTAGAGGGGAAATAAGCCTTCCAAGTCTCTATTCATCTGGTAGCTACACATTTGAAGTTATTCAAAGGTTTCCTCCGGGAACGGGTCAGAAGAATTTCTCTGTCAGACATATTCTGGGTCTAGAGGAAGTGTAATACTTGTAATCGTGGTTAAAGTGTCATTGAGGTCATACTAAAGAGGTCTTTAGTTCAAGCACAAAGGAGGAGAAAGTCTGCCTCACAGCCATGCCTTAAATACATTTCCACCATAGCAGGTTTAAATCTATGTAACCCTTTATGTATTTTTGATATCACTTAATATAGATCAAGTCAGATCGCTTTTGAAGGACTTTTTACCCCACACATCTACAGTCAGTACTGGGCACGATTGAACCCATGCACAATGCCCTTTCAGCATATATCAGATTTACATGCAGCTTTGGGGCCTTATTCTTATCCAGTAATTTTGGATAGGCACAATGAACAGATACCCCATTCCTTTAGGTACAGAACCATTAGGAGTAATCATAGGATCTGTTATTGTTGTAGTTCGTGTGCTGAAGGGCTAATGTTGACTCATTCTGCTCCTTCTCTAATCAGTGGATAAGTATATGTGACAAAACCTCATAATAAAGATGATGAGGCGCTCTGTTTTCTCATGAGTACCACTCTTTCATTCTCAAGATCTATTAGCATCGCATGTGAAGGGCTGGTGTGTCAGACTCTATTCAATTCTCTCTGATAGGGGAGAGTAAATTCCTGAAATAGGACAGAGCTGTGGTAGGGATCTGAAAAAAAGCCTGAGCACACCAAGATTCAAACCACTTTGTATCACTCTGGATTCTGGCACCAGGATGATTGCTCATACAAATTCAGAGCTGGAAATGGAGTGGGTGGGATTTTCTGTAGAAGTCCTTTGTGTCAGTACTAACTACCTGTAAATGTCCAGCTGTTCTTAAAAAAAAAATGAAAGGAAGATGGTTTGAAGAGTATCTGTTTACGTATCTTTCAAAATGACAGATGAATGAATGACAGAAGAATAAAAAAGAGCAAAATATAGAACAGTACAACCTGAATGTCCTATTGAATTATAAAGTAGAGCTGGAAATTATCTTATCTTTTTAGTTTTTTTTCTAATAAACAGAATATGAATATTATTGATTCACGTGAAGTTCTTTCTCCCTTATTAAATTAGCTAATGTCATACACTTCGGCACCTCATTTTACTTTACAATGATGTGATTCCATCACTGCCCCTCTTCCTTATATAGTGCACCTCCTTGGGCATTTGGCAGGAAATTGGATTGGAATAAGCATGTGCTGCAATACAAAATGAGGCCTATCCACCAAGTAGTCTCATTAGAATTTCAGGTGTATAAAAATACAAAAGAAAAACTTTTTTTCTATCAATAGACACACGGTTTGTGTGTGGAAATGGAATTGTCACCGGCAATTATTCATTACTTCAATATAAAAGATAAGCAAGAGAAGAGATCTGCCCTTGTCCTTTTAAGGGATTTATCAAGGAGCTTGTATCTCTACAGAGACTGCCGGAGAGTGTGGGCATTGGGAAAACCAAGAAGGAAGGCACATTAATTTATATCTGTATTTTAAGCTCTTTGAATATTTAATGCCATATCTACTTAAAAGCTCCCCATTCTCTGAAATGAAGGGTTATACAAATTTGGCAAGGCGAAGCATTAACATTTATTTATAAAGCACAATTCAACTACTAGGATTTAAAATGCTTTACACAGAACGTAAGAACAATTTAATTATTTTTACATATTGCACAATACAGAAAGGGGGGGGGGTTGCGGGGGGTACAGGGCAGTAAGAGTTATTAATCAAAGTCTTTCAGTTAATTATATCTGTTAATTAAATGCATTCTAAAAAGTCCCAGCATTTTCCCGATGACCTGAAATAACTTTAAGTGGTCAGTCGACTGGATAAGCACTACAAGTACAAGTCCGTTTACTATTTAATGTTTAAAATGTACCTGTCGCTACCTGGAGAGCACAGATCATGTCTTTTGTATTTGCTTTGTAACACTGTAGGTATTTTAACTGTGATCTGCAGTATGTAGTAAACAACACACACAAAGAGAATATTTTATGAAGACATTATTACAGCTTTGATGCTTTAAGGATGATAAGTGAAAGTCTTTGTTTATCATACCGATCCCACTGTTTTGTACAGCAAGGAATTATAACTGCTGGCTATAAAAGTACAACAGAACTTTCTACATTCTTCTATAACTTGAAAAGGTCTCTGTGAGGGCCTGGCTGGTTGGCTTCTTCCTGAGAACTGAGCACATTCATTCATATGACCAAATATTTCTGATTCCATCTAAACTTGTTTTATTGTTTTATCAAAATTTGTGTTTTGTGTGCATCTAATCAGTGTCCAGCGCTTAAGTGCCCCCTTGGGAGCCAAAATGCGTGGTTCAGGGTCCTCAAGTTCCCTCTGGGGAGCATATCAAACGTGTTTAAGGTGCCCCTTGCAGAGGTGGGCACGCCTGAATGTGCCCTTTTTTTCTGTCCGCCCCTGCTCCTCAAAGTCTCAGGGCTCAGGTAAACCTGCACCCCCACAGGCCACCAGAGGATGTTCGACCAAACTCTGCAAAAAAAAAAACAATCGCTTGAACTTTTCAGGGGGGGCGGAAACCTTCCCTCGATCCTTTGCCCAATAAGCAAAAAACTCGCCCGTGATGGAAATAAGGTCGGTAGAGGTGCCGAGTGTCCGATGATAAGCTCCACGCCAATTAACCCGCAGCCGGGCACGTGCGAGCAGCTGTACGCGGCGCGAGGTTCGAAACAGTTTGACTTCTTCCGGGCTTAAACGTTCGACTCTTCCTCGCGTTTTCGGGGCATTAATTGAACTTATTTGAGGGGGTTCAAGGCTCTGCGTCGGTTTCCGTGGCGCAATTAATTAGTTTAATGAGACGTTGCCTCTTTCGCTCACCAGTTAGAACTGTCTGCACTTGTTCGTTCGGATTGAGATGGAGTGGCGCCAGCAGACCAGTGTCAGCTGCGAAGAGGCGTTCAGCGAGGCACAGCGCTGGATTGAGGTGGGTTCGGTTTTTTTTATAATGTTTTTTTTCTCATTTATTTGCTGCTGACTCTTTCAGTTATTTGCGCTCCTTCTCGCTAAATTCTGTGCAAATCTGAGCGAGGATTTCCCTGCGTGTTTAGACAACCGGCTGTCAAGACAGGAAACTCTTCAAAGAAATCAGCTGCAGCTCGTTTCATCTGCAGGGGGGAAAAAATACAAAAAATAAAAAAGAAGCAGCCGTGGGCCGTTTGTAGAATTTAAGACTCGATAAAAGCTGTTTAAATTCACACACGTTTTTTCAAAGAGGCTGGAGCACAACTTTAACTGCGAGGCCTCTTCCCAAACTTATCTTTGGATGGGAATGCAAAGTGCATCCTGATAAGACTCTAGCGCGAGCTCATGTCCTAACAGAGAAAACCTTGTCTGGACATTCCTTTTGTGGCTTTTCAGATAAACCCAATTTGAATGCTGGCATTGCAGGACATTGGGAGCAAAATTCAAATACGGACTGGTAGATATCTAGTTACAGTTTAAAAGAAACTTGATAATTCAAATACCCCAACTGTTTACCTCTTTACAGCATGAGATTTGTTTTTCAGATCAGGCTGTTGAAATTTGTGTCAGGGATGGTGAAAGTAAATGCAGGAGGTTTGTACAATCTCTTTGCAAACTGCTGTGGCACTCAAGGTCTGGCACGCATCGTGGAGGATGTGGTCGCACAGCGAGGTGTTCTCAAACTAGCTTTTGCCCGGGCGATGTAGAGGCTGTAATCCCCAAATTATAACCAGCACAGAATGCAAGGGCTGTCAATCAACTGCAAATAGAACCATTAATGTCACTTGTCTCGGTGTAGATCATTACGAGAATTTTGTCCAGAGCTCTCTTGGCAGTCAGCCTGCGCCAATTTTACCCGCCTATTTTCCAGCACTGACAGATGAAAGGAAGGGTGAACAATGATGAGGTGTGTGTGTGGGTTTGACAGAAATGAAGCGAGACGTGCTGATTTCTGGAATAGAAGATGGTGTCTTAGACTTTTCCTCGTACCAAATTGCTATGTAAATGTGCGAACACTAATACCCTCAGCTACAGGCAGCAAGATAAGCCTCCCCAACCCGTTCATTGTTGTTCATCATTAGCAGAGTACCAGCTGCAAGAAAGTGCAACTGTTTGCTGAATGCCCGCTGGACTCAAAAATCAGAACGGCTCAGCCTCTGGAGCATTATCTCGACGATGAGTGTGGTTTCAGGTAAAGTGAGGGAGCAGTCAAACATCTCGAGTGTTTTCCTGCCAAAGAGCGACAACCACCATCCGCTCTCCAAGGCTTCTGACAGCAATTCATTCTTTAAAATTGGTGACAGTTAACAATATCTTCAGTCGTAAACCCAGTTTTTGTGAATGAGACTCTAAAATGCCCTTTTAAATGGCATTCACTGAAAATATCGAGTTGGAAAGTCTTTTTTTTTTTTTTCTCAGTCAGAATTGGGACTGATTTGCATTAAGTGCAACAAAGACATTTTCAGTGCAACTTTCCTCCTGAATGAATGCATCCAGTTTTACCAAATGCATTCACCCATAAGAACCCATAGCGACACAGGTCAAACATACAATTCAAACTAAAATAAATGCATTAAAAATGGTGAAAGGAACCAATGGAAAAAAAGTTATGCTCCCTCTGACTTTTCTTACTAGGAAAAATTGTCTTGGGTCCTTTGGTTGAAGGAAAATGAAAACCAGTATGCATGCACAGCCTTTTGAGGCCTTTTCTAAAGCCATTTTCAGGCACATGTGAGCTCCTGTGCTCTCATGAAGTGTCTGTCAAAAGCTAATTTGTACTACACAATGCTTCAGAGTTTTCTTACTCGCTTGGAAATATATTTTTACAGACTTGATAAATGAAGCAGTCTAATGAAGCCACATGCTAAACATAAATATTTGTTATTCTGTTAACCTGCAGGAATTTTGGAAATGTTGCTTGTTGAAAAGACCAATTAAGCTGCCAGAGCCATATGCCACAGTGGCACAGAGTAGGCATTTTACTGCCCTAACCTTGCACTGCGTTGTTCCTCTGATGCCATTAAGAAGCATCCGCTCTCTGCCCAGTTCAGCTGAAATGAATTATTATTGTGGATTCCTGGGGGGACTAATTAGTGAGAACAATCGCCTTTTGGGGCCCTCTGTTAGTTATGGGAGGCGGACTTTAATAGTCCCATTTTTATGTCCTCATTACAAAGCTTCCTCTGCCCTGAATGTTTGCTCCTCTGCCTTTACCAAAACTTATCTTGAATATTTGTGGGAGTCATTGTCTAAATCCACTTTAATTAATATTCAGCTTCAATATTTATTTATACTGTGCTGTCTTGGAGTAAATTGAGATGCTATAGCTTTACAGAATGCAGCGTACAAGTGAACGTGCTCAGTTTGAGTATTTGACTGGTTAGAACCACATGACATTTCTTACGTTTTACCATAGTTGTGATGCCATTTGAACTGATGTATTTCTTTTACTGGGTGTAATGGACCAGAAACTTTGATACATTTATCAAGAAAATATTTCCAAGTTGGATAAGTTGTGAACATGTATTTTCTGTGTTGTTCGGTGTTGTTGCACTTGAGTTGCTTACTTTATCCACTTTGGAAAAATATATATATATATATATATATTGGAGCATTTGGTGTTAAATTAGTCTCTAATGATGTTTCACAGGAAGTGACTGGAAAACTTTTTGGATGCAGTGACTTCCGTGCTGCATTGGAGGATGGGGTCCTGCTTTGCGAGTAAGTTGTGATGATGTATGTTGCCATGTCTATCGGGTCCCATTTTTTTATTAATAAGTTCAGTAACAGAAACCAATGCTGGAATTGGGCCAATTTAGCGATTTGTGTCACTACTAGCCATCAACCATGTTTAATTATATTCACAGCTTCACCCACGTTTCTCTCTTTCCCTAAACATTAAAATCAAGTGTGGGAATTGACTTGCATGTACTGCAGAACATGAATCTTATTGTCACCTTTTATGAAAGACATTTTCCAAACCGCTAAGTCTAAGTGCAGATCTTTACAAAATCACTTACAAATAACACTGAATCAATCTGAGGCATTGATAAATGGAAAAGTGTTTGTTCAGCAACAAAATTGTTTGAGTTGAGCTTGCTGTAGAGTTTGTCATTGAGATTTTTTTTTCTTCTGCAGCTTAATTAACCAGTTAAAACCTGGAATCATCAAGAGGGTGAACAGGCTTTCGACACCCATTGCAGGACTGGTGAGTGTATCCCCTCTCGTGTTAGCCATCAGATTTATATGTGATCAGAGTGAAAGTGCAAAAGAAAATAATGAGGCACCTTCTAGCCAGGAAATGTTGACACAGTGTGGCTTCCTGTTAACGCACAGCCAGACAGGCTAGCTATAGCTTAAATTAACCTGAAACTCCTTCTCATGTGATAAGCAAACTGCTGAATATGTAAAGTTTTATTGGGCATCAATGCAATTGGAGACTTTTTTATTTTTTTGGCTTCAGGCTGTGTTTCCGTCGACTCAAGCAAGCATAACTGCCAAAACTGCCTCAAGCAAGTGCAGAGAGATCAATTTCAGCCCTCCGTAGGGGGCCAATAAACAAGCAGTGTGCAGCAATAGATACAGGATTGGTGATAGGGTGGTGTGCAGCCCAGGCCCATCAGCTGCTGGACCATAATGGCTACTTTTTTTTTTCTTTAATTGTTGAGGATGTGTAACAAGTGTTGGTGATGTTTATAGCTCTCAACAACAAGACACAAAACAAGTAAAGGAGACCATTATCTGACATTCCCAAACCAGCTACCCTTTTAATGGTCGGTGGTCTTGCACATGTGGGCAGTTAATCGTGTACATGGACCAAATCTTCAGTTTATAATTTAGAACTGATAATTCCAAATGTTCTGCCCCAAAAGGTAAAGTGTGTGTGTGTGTAGACGTACAGCTGAAAAAGTCACCTTTCTACATGTTTAAGCTTGTAGAACAGGTTGTGCCATTAAAAAGAAAAAGCTAAATAGTTCTTGTTTAAGACCCTTGCGTGACTGAAAAGAATGTCTTGGAATAATTAGCTCAGTTTTATGAAGGAACCGAACTTCTTCATTTAAATTGGGATTTTATTATTACTCATCAGACTTGAGTTTTCCCATCGCTGGCTATTGGAGCAAACCAACCACGTTCTGGTTGAGATTCTGAACACGTTTTATTCTGCCGAGTAAAGTAACTTGTCTGATACGTCATGCAGTACATTAACCTTTCCAAGGCAGCTGCTTACTGGTGCACGAGCACCTCGGACAAATTGCTGATGCTTTGACTGAGAACTGCAGTCCTTTTAAAAAAAAAAAAAAAAAAAAAGTATTTAATTTCTTAAACAAAAAAGGAGGTTGGAATTTTTAAATTCCAAGAAAAAGTTTGAATTCTTGGGGATGGCCGATCGACCTTTGCATGCACATTTTTATTTATTCTAATTTTATTCTAATGAAAGGCATCATACCACATGTGAATATCAATAACAAGTGGGATATTTCACACGTATTACAATTTTTTTTTTTTTCAGTAGCCTTTTTTCTTTCTCTTTTTTTTCCTTTTCTCGTTACCTAGTTGCACATTGACTGACTTTAGAAGTTGTTCATAATGTGGAAACGATGCAAGCCTGAAGGCAGCCTTATTTCATTTCCTGTGCCTCACTTCTGAAACACACCTAATGCTGCGTCAGAGCCTGTCAGCTGGTATAAAAAGCACAGGGATGAGCGACATTTGTCAGTGGAATATTAAAATTTGTGTATTTTTCAACACTTTGGCAGGGCAGGTAATAATCCTGAAAACAAAAAACCATGCTGATATTTACCTAATACGGCAATCTGTTTTTTGGTTTGTTTGCTTGGTTTTTGTTTAGCACACGGTGTGCCTCATTTACAAGCCCCATCTGTATCTGCCTTTTCATCAATAGAATTGCATACAGTTCAGACTTGTACTGACTAAGGCGAGGGGGGCATTTACTCTGACTTTATTGTAACTGAAGTTTAGACCTTAAATGGAAAAGCACAAGGGTGGTCATTCCGACTCAAGGCTTAAGTGAAGTTGCTTTGAAATGTGTGGAAAGTGTACGTCTTCAGATTGATTGTTACTCTTGCAGAACGCTTGGAATTTCTTCTCTTTACACCTTCAAGAATCATCTGAAGTCTCACCTCTTACTGAGAACACCACCTCCTCTAACCTGCTAACTCGTATCCAGCACTCACTTTGCACCTCTGAACGTATTTTACCTGTATTGTCATTTGAATAAGTTTAGCTCTAAGCATATTAACAGTTGTTCCTTTTGCAGAAAAAGGTCTGCAAAATCAATAAAGACATTTGTAGCATACTTTACATTTCAGATATGATCATGCCTTTTACTGTAAAAGACAGAACAATAACTGCCCAAATAATCATCTTAAAGTTTTTCATGTGGTCGGATTTATGGTGTGTCATAAAGTTTGTGTACCAAGATCTCTGATCCGACTTCTTTATTTAAAAAAAATATATATTTATATATATTTTTTTTTTTGACTGATGCCTGGTTTGACCTGATGCCTTGTATGAGACAACTTAAATACAGTTTTACAGCCCATTGCAGCACTAGCTGTTGAAATACGGCATTGTCTTTTACATCATTTATCAGTAATCTATCAGTTATTAACAGGGGTTCCAGACCTAATGAAGCTGAGTGCTGCTGATGGCCCGTTTGTTGGCCCATCCCAAAAAGCTTTAAAAATAAAATAAAAAATAAAATAAAGTCTTAAACTTTTCTCTATTTCTGGTACGTTTTTAGGATAATGTGAGTGTTTTCCTGAAAGCCTGCGGAAAACTGGGACTCAATGACTCACAGCTGTTTCATCCAGGTGACCTGCAAGACCTCTCCACTCGTGTAACACTCAGGTGAAGTAGTCGTACAGACGTGTGTGCTGATGCAGTGCTTGTTATTTGCACAGGACACGTAGACTTTCGGCGGATCCAAACTCATCCAGACGCTCATATCATTCCAGATTGGCAGCTGACCAAATATGCTAACATTATGTCCGAAACGTGGTGTGTGTGTGAGGGCTGTATTGCACTCTTTCATTGGGTTGTGTGCAGCACCTGTGCTGAAAAAGATTAGCAGCTTTGCATTAGTAAGATATGAGCTTTGCCTGACAAGTGAGCCTGGCCTCTATAAAACCTGATAATTAGCTGATGAGTGGCAAGGTGGAAATAATCTAGTGTGTTCTTAACAGTTGACTGTTTATTGGAAGGGAATTTGCTGCCTGCTTGTTCATTTATATTTGCAAAGATTATGAATAGGAGAAGCCATTCTAAATATTTATGCTTTCCTTTTAGGCGTGATGAAAGCAAGAGGCGGCTCAAAAATGTAAGTCATACCTCTTATATCTCTAAATTTCTTTGCCATTACAGCTCTGATTTACTGGTTTTCATTTTAACACCAAATGTTAGCACCTGTTAAGGAAACGGATGAATTATTTCCCTTTTGCCAGTAGCAGTATTTCTTCAGTCCTGTATCATGTTGGGAGCTGCTGTGCAATCACAATCGGCTAACTATTTATCACTGCCTTCCAGGGGAAAGCCCTGTAGCTAAAGAAATTAAAAGATGCCACTACTCTGTATCTGACAGGTTGTGTTGGACTGCAATTTCTGAAAAGCATGCCTCTCTGTGATGTGTATGCTGGTTTATTTTTGAGGGTAATACAGATGGTAACCCCACACAGAGGGACTGAAAAGGAGCTGTACTTTATTATAACCTGGTTAGAATTGGTTAGTCTTGTCTCAGTTTGTGTGTGAGAGATGCTCATTGGTTTGAATATATGCCCCAAACTACATTCTTCTTCTCTCCTGTAACAAGCTGCCATATGTGCAGCAGCATTTTCTGCATGGAGCACGCAGTGCTGGATGTGAACTCCAGGCATTTATGACACTCATGCAATTGAGAGGCTTTCTGCAAAGCTTAATTTGAATTGAACAATAGCTGACAACATGGACTTGGTAATGAGGCTGCTTGTCATAGAAACCTCTCTTTGAACTGGGCATAGCATTATTCTTTGAATAAACCAATTAGGGTCAATTTAAGCCCATTGAAATCCAGCTTACACTGGGTTTTCCAGCCAGTGAAATGGTTACAAATTCCATCAGTCTTAAAGCTGTTAAGGTGGAGGGCGACACATTGTTAATTGAAGAGATGTTTTTTTGTCACACAGGCCCATCAGTTTTTCTTGCATAACATTAAAACCTTTCTCAAATCATGTGGAAGACACTTGGTTTGTGATAACATGGCATATTCCCATGAATACAGCAAACATTTTTTGTTATTGTTAAAGTTAAAGTTGCATCAATTGACTTTATTTTGTCTTTTTTTCAACTTGACTTTCATTTCACTGAACCCTCTCACAGTCTTATTTTTCTCCACTTGCAAACGGTTCTGAGACGAATGTGCTGGAATTTCTTAAAAGTAACTGCTGCCATTATTTTCAGGTCCAATTTATTAAGAAGTTTGCAGATATCTTGATATACATGTGAGACGGCCCTGAATAATGAGTAACCCTGTTGTATGCATGGCTGTTTCCAACAACTGTAATCCAAATGCATCTCTAAATGATTCGATTTGGCCAGTAATGTTGGCACCTGCTGATGCAAGCAAAGATTTTACTGTAATATGTTTTTCATTGAGCATTTTCTGCTGAGTGTTTCCCAAGCCCTTCAAAGAAACCAAATAAAGACATCCTGACATGGATATTAGTGCACATCCCTGTGCAGCTGAGGCTTTGGGTCATTCTCTTGTCAGATGAGCCGATTGCCTGAAGACAAATCGGAAACAAATTATATTCAAAATGCTTTGGTGGCAGAACCAGTATAAAATTAAAAGTAGGTGAAGACTCGTCTTTCAGAGCTTTGTTCTCTGATTTTACTAATGGCTGCTAAGTGCCAATAATATTCTGTATCACTATTTACTGTTACTGTGAAGGCTGTAATGCCCCCTTATCAGTTTATTTTGACTGGTGTAGATGGGGGGGGGGGGGGGGGGGGGGGTAAGGTGGTTAGGAAACACAGGAAGAGGGCTCCTGTTTTGATTAAAATTATTTTAAACAAGTCTGAGTTTATGTTTTGCGAGGAGGGGAATCAAGTGTGTACATGTGGATTTTTTTGTGCTACAACTGTTTTTGTCCGCCCAGGTTCTGATTACAATCTACTGGCTGGGTCGCAAAGCTCAACTAGACACATTTTACAGTGGTCCCCAGCTTAATTTCAAGGCCTTTGAGGGACTGTTAGGGTTGGCCCTGTCCAAGGTAAGCTGCTTTTCTTGCCTTTTGATAATGTGGTCTGGCATTTGTAACCTATATAAACCTTGACTTTTTATTCCAGGCTCTGGAAGAGGGCAGTATCATGTTTGTGAAAGACGGTGGGTACAGAGAGTGCCGTTACCCTGAGGAGGACGAATGTCAGAGCATGAGGCAGAGTTATAAGAGAGGAAATTTGATGGATGGTATAGAGTCACCGGACACACATGCAGTTCAGGCAAATGATGAAGGTATCCGAATGATTTCTGCTGGCTGTTGTTTGTCATAAAATGTCACCCCTTGCATGAAATGAATTTCTTACTACTTGATTATTGTGTCTGTAAAAAGGTTAAGATTTTTTAAAGATATGCTGTCCTTCTGCAGAAATGTTTTCTAAACTTACACAAATTCTAGTTCCATTAAGAACTTAATGTTACTTTGTTAAGCTTAATAATGGCTATGAGATCAACAGCTGCTGCTTATTTCACCTATTTGTCTTCATGCAGTTGTCTAACTCACTGCATGTCAGTGTTGACTGTGGCAAGTTCCACACCTTGGTGAAACATGTTTGTTATGTGAGAGTATAAGACTTGGCTTGGTGTTCCCCAGAGGCTCAGCTGTGTGAAGGCTGCCATCCAGCAGTCTTGCTCTCAAGCCTTATTTCCTTTTATTCCATTTATTTGGTAGGCCTGCTTATTTGTTAAATGTGTTTGGATAATTTTGCTTATCGTTCATTTGTCTGTGCACTCTCCAGGTTGTGGAAGCGACGCAGAGGCTGAGCAGGTTTTCAGGATGGAGAACACGAACTCAGCACTCCAAAACAAGGGTTACATCCCGCCACCGCTGAGAAGAAAACAAGCACTGGAGAAGACGGGAGGCTGCTTGAGTCCACTCCCCAGGTACAGAAAATCTGTCGGCTGCTTTGTTTGGAAAGTTCTCACTCCGCAACTAACTCGCTTATCCATAGCTGACCTTTCAGAGAAAAGTTGGTGGCATTTATTTACATTCCTTTCCACTGCCTGTATTGGATTTTTATATTTTGTGGTGCAGTTTGACACGCGTGTCTTTGAGAGAAGAACTGTGACTTAAAATGATTAACATACTGATTTCCATTGAAATTTGATTGTGGTGTGATCTCCTTTTATAATTGAGTTTCAATGAGTTGATGTGTTTTAATTCATTCTAATATTTTTATTTTAACACTCAGCTGTTTGCCCTGTTTATTTTTAGGATGAAAAATAATTAAGTGATTCTTTTTCATCCTAAAAAGAGGGGGAAGCTATTTTTTTTTTCTTTTTGAGAATAAGCATGGTTGCACAATTTTTCATAATTCTCCACTGTCCGTGGAGAGCTGATGCACTTTGAAAATTTAGGAAAAACATATTTAAACTTGGGTGCAGGTTAGTGTTGCTTCTGTTTGCGCCATTTGTCTCGGTGTGTTTTATTTTTGCAGTTTTAAACCTGTAATCACAGAATTTGCAACGGTTGTCCCTTAAATGAAGCAAATGGGTTTTATTTTGTTTTTACTATTTTTATTTTAGGTTTTCAAGCTGTTTAATCTGTCGCAACACAGCCACGATGAACAGGGAACCATCTTTGGTTCCCTGTTTGGCTGACTTCATGCGACTCCTGCAGTCATGGTGTCTTAACTGGTCCTTTAGCTCAACTCTGCTATGGAAAAATCAACATGGAAGTGTTTGTTAAAAAAAAATATCCGCAGTGCACTTCATTAGTACGGTTTACTTGTGTCCTCGACCCATTTTTAAAATGGCTGATCACGTTTTGAAAAAAGATCTTTTGTGATCTGATTTTTACCCACATGTTGTTTCAGTGTTGACAGTAATATGCTATTAGCCTTTTGGAGATTTGCAATTCAAACCTGTTGATTTCATGCCCACATCCTTGACCTTCACATGAGTGAGGAGAGCAAAGATGTATTCATAACATCCTGCTCATGTGTCTTCTGTCTATGAGCAGTTTCTGTTTGTGTCCTAAAGATTTCTGGGATCATCTTCACACTTAACAGCCGAGCAAATTGACCCCTCTTGGTGATCTGCTACTCTCTTATTAAAGAAGTGTTAACTCTCCTCATTGGTTATTGTCACTTGAGAGTCTGATGTGCCTTTTTAAAGAGGACGCATTGTGCTTTCATTCAATTCAAAAGGTGTCAAAGTTTCAAACTAAAGAGTTCCTTTTCAGAGTACAGTGCTCCTGAGCAGCCTTTTATATATAGTTCAAACATTCCCTTGCTTTAAGGCTTCATTAGATGATACATTTGCACAATCGCTATGTAGTTATCGGTTTACAAATCAAAGAAAAGAGCAGCAAGCAGTTTATTCTCACCCCGAGAGCTGACTGGCCTTTTTAGAAAGGACCCAGTTAGATACTGGAGCTGAAATGATTGAGTGATGGTGATCGAGCAGCAAAGCTTTTTAATATTTATCTTTGCTTTGGAGAAGTTATGCATGAGCTCTGCTTGAGTCGGTCATTACTAAACCACATTTCAATCTTCTGGTTGAAGGTTGAAAATCATTATATATCCCTAAGCTTTTTCAAGATAAAGCACTTTGCTTTAATCAAACTGCTTTTTAAAATTGGAGAGAAATGTGAAAAATCATTTTCGTGCATCTGTTTGAACATTTGCTTTTGTGGTCCGCCATCTGCTGTAAATGTAGACATGGGTATGCCACTTTTCACTGCAGCACCTTAGATGCATCCTTATCCTCTCAACCCAACCTCACTGTGCCTTCTGAGCATGGTGTGGAAGAACTTTTTTTGCAAGCTCCATGTGAGGAAGACTCGGAGGACGATTGCACAGAAGCAGATCCTGTACTCGATGATTTATATTTCCGGCGAGTGCAGCAGACCCTCCATCAGACATCTACCAACCCTAACTATGATCGCTTCTTACCTCGAAACTGGACACCTGAAGAGGAGATGCGTGTCCATAGGATCTTCCTCGGCTCCCAAAGACGACCGTGGTATCGTAAAATGCTCAGTCTGAGGTCGGTCTCTCTTGTGCATGGTGATATGAAGTCATGAAGCTTTAAACTGTCAGTGTATATTACAGTAGGGATATTCAGCTTACCAAGCAATGCTTACAATGGTGTGAAAAGCACAGGCAGCTAGCAAGTAATGGACAGTAAGAATGAGAAACCGCTGAACTGAATTTGTTTTTGTTTTTATTTGATTAATCTTCCTGTCAGTAACTTTGGTTATAGATTATTATCCAAATCTGACTGAGCTTGTGATGCATTTTGTCCTCCCTTTCTTTCACTGTAGTCGGAACGCTTTGATTTTAGCAGAGGAGCTGGACGTTTCCCTTGATGTAACGGCTACCGTGCCAAACATCTGTGCAACACAGGGGGGAGCTTCAGGACCTTATTGAAGATAATCTCCAAACTTCAACTTTTAACTTCAATGCACACACACACTTTAACTATTAAACAATTTATTCGAATTTTTGCAGAAGCATCATGTCATGTGAATGAGCGTTGCAATATTATTTTTTCTGTTTGTTTTTTTCCTGTTCTAAGTGGTCCAAAGGATCTGCCATTTGTACTCTCACATTTTTATTGTGCTGCTGATTTGACTCATTTGGGGGTAATTGTTAAACATGACTTATCCGTTGTCAAATCTAGTTGGCCATGACAGAGACATGTTACTTCTAACACCTTCTGTGTGAGTGCCGTATTCCAGTTTGTGGTGTGACATAAGTGATGAAAAATAAAATCTTTGTGGGTTAATAAGCTGTCAAATTGACTAATTTATACAGTATGTTGGACATATTTATAGTTCCATGATTAACTGTCTTTGAATTCAGCAGTGGACTTAGTGTGTTGTTGCTGTCACATCACACGGTGTGTGAAAAATACAATTCATTCTCTCCACATAATGTGTTTTTTCTCTGGCCTTTGGTCATACCTTTGTTTTATGAAAAATCACTTTAATATGATGGATTTTTCTCAACCCATATGCCTTCATATTTAGATGCACAATTGTGTTCATCACTCTCCATGTCTTTATCTGGTTCTGTAGAATATATCAAATCCAGGTCAGACCTGAGAGACCAGTTCAGGTCAACCCAGGCTGGATTTGGTGAGTCGAAGCATAAATGTTTTGTAGGGTGCTTTGTTAATTTTTGTCTGGCTATACTTTTCTTTGCAGTCATTGTTGTCTTGAAGAAAATTGTGCTGTAAACTAGACTTGCCTTTCTGTAAAGATGCACTGCTTGGTTATTCTGCCTCCCTCAGTTGCCTTGTCTGACCATTGACAGGGTTTATTGCAGACTGTAGAATTGTTTGCAATCAGTCTTGCTCCCTTCCATCAAATAATGCCACAGTTTTGATGTACCACTTGCCAATTGTGGCTGTAAGTTACTCAAATGTCACATTTGACACCCTCCATTGCCCACAACAGTTCTATTATTGGTAACTGTACAAGACACAGCTGTTGGGTTATGCAGAAAGCAATGTCTGTCATCTATACTTCTGCTTGACGTGACTATCGTGCTTACTACTGCTTGCTATTTTGAAAGGATTGTGCTGTTTGAATGCAAAATGTTCTTTTACAGTTGATAAAGTGGCCCTTTTTCTGTGTGTACATGCGTTTAGTGTCTGTCTGGTCTGCTGTGCTTTATGGTGTGCAGAAGTGTCCCTTTCAGCAGTGTTAATCTTCAAGATAAACTACAGCTGAACTTGAGTGGTAAATGTGATTAGTCTGAGGAAAATATCAAAGTTGGTGTCATTTGAAATGTTGGCGATTAAAGCTATTTTTTGTGCTGCTTTTTAGGAAACTCCCAGTATCGCTCACTCTGTAAGTGGTCATTGTTCAATTCTCGTCTTTTTTTCTGTCTCCATCTAGGAGCAAATCTCTCAGTGACATACCCATGGTTTACCCCATGCGTAAAGTTTCCGATGGAAGCGTCATTCATGATAAAGGCCAGGGCACCAGCCTGTCAGGGGATTGGAATAAAGAAAACAGAAGACAATTTAGTGTTGCTGTCAAAGACAGTGAAGCTCAGTGGCAGGATGTAAGTTAGACTACATTTTGAAAAAGCTTATTAAAAGATATTTTCTGATTGCACTTGCTAAGATGTGATTGTTATTGCAGATGTTCCAAGTTTTTCAAGATTGAGCTTTGCTTAGAAAATGCAGATTCAATCCCCTGTCAGTGACACAGGTCCAGTCTCCAAAATGGTAGTCTGTATTAAGCAGAGACGGTGTCATGTGATATTGTTGGCCAAAAGAAGTGACAGTATGCAGGGCTGTGAAGTAGGAGTTTAAAACATTGGCAGTGATATGCCATTGCAGTCAAATGGAAACTTAAACATTTGTTTCAGGATCTAACAAAGTGGAAGAATCGGCGCAGGAGCACCAAGTCCGAGCTCCACAGTAGGTCACAGGACAGGGAGCATGTCATGCACCAGATGACCAATGGTGCTATCGCTAACAGTGATACGAATGATGTTGAAGGAGGTCCAAGGAAAAGGTACATGCTTGCTAAAGTTTTACTGGTGAACCCTGTTGAATTGAATGATTTTTATTTTATTTTTTTTAGTAAAATCTTGTGTAAGATAAAATGTCCTTTTATCACATTTTGGGTCCCATCATAATGGTAGTTCATTTTCACCAACTCTTCAGAAACCAGTCCCCCTGGAACTATAGCTCAATGCCGCGTCCTTACTCGGCCTGCTCTCCATCAAAACCCTCGGGTTCTGAACTGAGGCAACATTCTCGAGCTCTGCTGGCTCGCAGCTACGCTACTGACACAGAGCCTTCCAGCCCCTCAATCCGTACTCAGGTAGGATTATAGCTGTTCTCAGCTGTTACCTTTGACCTTTAGTTAATGCATCCGGGTGCTCCAACGTAATTGTGAGTACAACTCAGAAGATTTGTGAGGAGATGCATGTGCAGTTTTGTAAGGTGAAATGTAATATTTGACATTGCCTCATGGCACATCTTTAGAAAGTCTTGAACTTTTCTTCTCAGAGATCATCACTTAGTGCCTTGCCTGCCTCTGATGTGAGCATCTTGGGAGTAGAGACCACCGTTGCATCTCTGGCCTCTGAAGGAGCAGCAGCGACTATGCCTTTAGACCTTCCTTTCACCTCGCAGAGCCAAATTCCTCTCCAGTCCACAATTGAAAATTCCCAGACCCTCAATGCCGTAACAAATGAGATTTGTTCTCCTCTTACAACAACTGAGTCGAATGACACTGTGAATTCTTCCAGCAACTGGGATCGTACTTCATCCATGTCAGTTTTTGACACAGATCCATCCTGCATTGATCCCAAAGGTAAAACTTTCTGCCCAGAAGCACTTAATCAGGCTGGACTCGATGTCACTAAGAAGTCGACCGCTCAGCACTACCAATCCCAAGAGGGAAGCCAGAAGTCATTTTGGGACCGAGCAGGGGATGGATTGACTCGGCAGGAAACCGGCGCCTTAAAGTACCAGTCCAGAATGGGGTCACTGCCCAGCACAGCCAGCCTTCCCCGTGGTTACCGTCGGTCTGAGGGGTCCTCCCGTCTCTCCTCGGCTATAACAGCCAAACCATTTGCGGCCAAGCTGCCCAGAGTGTCTTCATTACCAAGACCGTTTAGCGTGAGTGATACATCATCACTTATTGATCTTTTTAGGAAATTCAAAGTGTCAACTTTTGAGTGAGGTGTTGTTCATTATAAAAAAGGGGATAAGATTTATTACTTTGACTTTCATAAATCATTCATTCAGTAATTCCAATCAGTGTAGCTGGTAAAAACTGTAGTGCTACTAGCTGGATTTATATCACAACACTACCTTTTCAAATACATAAATTAAAACAAAAATTACAGTATTGTTTTTTGGTTTCCTTCAGATAATTTAAGTCTTTGGAGATAAAGTGCTTATTATTGGAAATAAATGGCCAAACATGAAAAATACAAATTCTTTGGCCTGCTCTTCCAAAGGGTTGTGCTGTAAAGCTTACTGAATGGCAATTCAGTGTTGAGACTTTTACTACCTAGAATTTGTCACATTGTCAGCACATTGGTCTTCGATATTGAGTATACTGTCCTACCTTAACGCTGACATATTTCAGTGCTACAGTGCAATCCTTTATCTGCTTGTCAAAGTGAGCAGGTCTTGTTTTTGTCTACCACTAGCTGGATGCAGGTTCGCTTATGAACAATGAGGAGGATTGTCTTTCTGCATCCACCAAACCATCTTTCAAAAGACAGATGGCGGCCGCCCATCTGAGGGGTCAGTACCAGGTATCAGTCAGACAGAAGAAAGCCAGCCAGGCAAAGCAGAATGGCAAAGAACCGAGAGAAGACGCGAGCAGTTCCAGCTTCTTCAGCCAGACTTCCTTACAGAACAATGGCCATCCCCATCTGCCCAGGACTTATTCAAACCTACAGCCTTACCACCGCAAAAGCGTGTCGCTTCCATCCAAGATGAGCACTGAGCTCCTAAAGGTATATTGTGTTATTCATGTCAGCATGGTGTGTACCATCTGCACACTGCATATGTGAAGCTGCCTACTGAGAAAATCCAGGTTTTTACTTATGTCGCATTACTTTTTATATTTATTTGAGACCATCAATTTACTAAGGCTCATTTAGGGTAAGATCCCTCCTTATCAGTTAAAATGTTTACTATTCTCAGTTTTTGTTAGTCGTATACACTATTGGATCATACTTTTGACTTTTGTGAAATAGTAAAATGGCTTGCAGCCATGTATGGAATGAGTTTCCATATGCCGATCCAAACCCTTTGCAGCATTCACATGTTTTCTCATGGCAGATAAAAATAAAGTTAAACTAATATTGAAAAGGAATTGTATTGGATTGACTATTTTAGTCAGTGCTATTATACATTTCGGTTAAACTGCTGTAACGGCTACCAGTGGAAAAGGGATATTAAGAGTAAAATTGCAATTCAATTTTATTTATTTATTTCTTTTCCTGACTGAAATGCAACTTTTCAGATGCACTTTACCCTTTGGCTTTCTGAAATTGGATCTCTTTTTTTTTTCTCCATATAAACTCAGACTAGCAGGTCGAGATCGCTCTGTTGGCATTAGTCATTGCATGCACTCACCTAGACAAAAATACAGTTTAATCTTTTGTATGTAAAATATAGCAATGGGGCGTTTTAATGTAGCTGCTTTAATTTACGTAGTAAAGTAATGCAGTCTGATACAGCTTTGCATTGTGCTTGCAGTCTGTGTTTGTAGAGGACTGCAGAATGTTCATAAGAAATGGTGGGGTCACATGAGGTTTGTTTCCATGCATTCCGTCGTGACAGAAATATCTCCCACAGTAATGTAGCTTACTCACCTGTTTTATTAAAAAATTCCAATGGAAATATTAAGAGTTGCAGTCAAACTGAATGACAGACTCGTGGAAATTACATCTTATTTCTTTCCCTTCATATGTGGTTTAACACCTGAGTTTAAATTTAGGGCCACCAAGCCACGCCCGTCAGGGCACCTTTTTTTTCCATTGGTGCACGCGTACTGATGAACCCCTTTTACAATTATGTGAATAAAATGAACAGCAACATGACAAGTTTAAATGGACAAGCAGTCTGCACACCTGATTGAAAGGAACCTTCATTAATGAAAAGGGGCTTTTGCATCTGGTCATTTTGCAGTGTCGTGTAAAAAGCCTCATTAGTTTGTAGCACCTGTTGGGGTGACAGAGCTGCCTGGACAGAGCTGAGGTAATATAAATGGTTATTAAACAATTCAGTCCAACAGTTGGTAAACGCATCTGTTTGAGTGCAAAGGTCTGTTTGGGATTAAACCAACAGTGGTTTAATACGTGCATGAATGCATTTTTATGTTGAAAATAATAAGCATTTGACATGTGAGGATTTTTCTCCTTTAAAAAAAAAACACTCATTACCATTATCTGCATACATGAATATAGAGCTGAAGGAGCATCTTTGAGGACAAGCTCATAATACAATCATTCAGAGAGTCAGTTACTATTCTTGTGTAAAAGGTGTCTAATTTCCACCAGGAAGCACATGACATTGGATCTCCGGGTGTCACCTTTTTGTGTCTGTGTTTCAGGTGGATCACAGTGACATGAGAGTGAGCCTGACTCTTAAACCCAACAGTGTACCCGACTTTGGTTTCCACACTCACTGGGACTCCACAGGGGCAAGAATAACATTTGTTCTGCCAGGTAAGACTTTAATCTCTTGATTACTTTTTGTTTTGTCACTTAAAGAAAAGGCATTTGGGGGAAAATGGATTCAGATTCGGTCAGATTTTAGACAGAAATTCTCTATCGTTTGTCCAATAAAGAACTTTTCGTATACTAAGACAGATTCTCTTTAGTCTCCATGTAAATAAAAAAGACCGGAGATGCGCAATGGCTCATATCTGAGACTGGAGACACATGAGAAATGATTACTTTGATGAAAACATTCTGTAGCTCTAGGAGTGAATGGCAGTTTTTTTTTTTTTAATATTTTCGTAGATTTTGTCAAGAGATAAAACATCAAAACTTGCACAATCTTATTCACCAAGCCGGATATAATTTTCCCATTCTGAGCATATGAACGATGACCGGTTGGTTTCTGTCTTTGAAGGTTTCCATTCATCAAAAGACAAACCACAAAATGTGACCAGTGATTTAAAACTCAATCATAAATAATTAAGATGTAACAGAGGTGTCACTTACTTGCTGCTCAGTAGTTTGTGCTCCCTGGCCCACTTTAGAGCCTGCGGCAGCCGCTTGTAGTGGCTTGGTTCTCACCGAATAGTAAAGAATGAACTCTGAAGCTGGGTGTCTTTGGATGTTTTGTCAATTTTTTCCTGGTCATTTTTTTCTCCTTTTCCTCTCTCCCACAGGCAGTCCGGCCGAGCTTTGTCGCCTTTCTGTGGGTGATGAGATTGTGGCAGTTGATGGGGTTGCTGTGGCACACATGACCTACAACCAATGGAAGGATAAAATGGCATCTTCTTTGCAAACCGGCAGTCTGACCATAGACATTCGACGCTACGGCATCAAGGGTAAGGTCATTATCCACAAAAGGCACCTATCACTCCAATACCTAGCAGGTCGACAAAAACGTTGGCTCGGAAGTGGTTTTAGTTTAGACTAATGTTTTTTTCAATTAGATTGGAGCACCACAAGTCATCACAACCAATCGAGCCAGAGCAGGATGACTCTTAATCTGACTGCTACAGCACCTGTTCTGATTGGCTGCCCTGGTCCTCATGCCAGGAGTGCTGCCCCTACAGAAACAACTGACACACAAGTATCCAAATTTAAAGCACAAACAGACAATGTTTTTTTTTTTAAACAGTTAATTGAAACATGGATTCTCAAAGCTCTTATCAGTTTCATCTGTGGATGCTTTTTTTTTTTTTTTTTATGTGGTCAGGTACTTCAAAATGAACCTGCAGGTGGAATGGTCTCTGACAACCCCAGTACAGCCAGAAGTAAAGGTAATATTCAAATCAATGGGAATATAACAAAAATATGTTCTCTCCTCTTTGGATACTTTCTGTAATCTAATGACTGACCTTATCCCTCGTTCCTTTTCATGTAGATTATGTTAATATAACTAGGAAAAATCAGAAAAGGAGGGCAGAATTTTTCGAAGCAAAAGGTAAAATGCCAGTATGAACTTAACCGCTTGTATAGCAGCTTTGGCAGCTGGTGCTTGAGTTGGTTAGCATTTCTTGGTGACAAGACACTTTAAATTTGGGTTATAAGAGGCAGGAGGGAAGTAGAAAAAAGTAAGCGACTTATACACAGACTTCATGCAACACAGTGCAAATTAATTTGGAGAAAAATGGACAAAGTTACTAAATGGAATGATTCACTTTGATTATTGAACTAAATCCTTTTGCGCTGTGGATCAGTGAACCACTTCACATTTATTTTGTCATGAGATCTGGTTGGCCACTCAACCGTGTGAATTCCAGAATACGCTAATATCTCTCGGTGTGGGGATGTGCAAACTGAGGCTAAAACAGAAAACGGAGCTTAACTTTATGCTGCATTTTGTACAAGCTTGCAGAGCAACAACGAGGACCACAGCACAATTTATGTTAATTAAAATTACTGATTTACCAACCTATGGTGAAATTCTGCAAGTATGTGCAGTAGATGCCTCTTTTGCAGTGGTGTTACATGTTCGGTCTGCAGGTGGCTCTCGGATAATGATTTTAAAGGACTGATTTTTCTTGCTGTCCTCATCTGTTGTTGATTTGCATCCTGCAATGGCTTCTCTCTCCAGGCTCTGCAGGAATCAGCTCCTGGGTTTACTTGTGTGGTAAATAGTTTGCTCTGTGTGTCGTTTATCCATTTTAGCTGCTTACAAAATGTTGAAGTTGAGCATTGTTAAGAAATTAAACTAGTGTTGCATATACAAGGCTTGGATACATTTTCTTTTTCGTACTGTTGCATGCTTATCTCTTTTTGCCATTTCCTTTTTCTGTTTAAATTGTGGAATTTAAGCTGGATACATGGGAAGACTGGTGTGATTCACATACAGCTTTGCTGGTGCTGAGATCCCAATCCTCAGTCAGGACCTGCTGGCTTGCAAATATAGATATTTTAATCCTGTCCTGTAGGTATAGATCCACTAGCAAAAGATTATGATTTAATTCACTGTTTGCCCCATTTGTGTTTTCGGCTTCAGTGAAGATCTGAACACCTCAGGGCTTTTGCATGGCTGCTCTGACTGCTGATGCAGTCTGCATGTGTGCCACATAGTACAATACTGGGAAAAAGAGCAGGGGTCGATGCAGTGCTTTGAGAATTCAGTACAGAAAAGAGAGAGAGAAAAGCAGTTCTTATGTCTCCTCAGTCTTTGTGCGGTGTGTGTGTGTGATGTACTGTCTGTGACATTGCCCTCACTTTTATAATCTTTAAGAGCTTTATGGGGTTCCTTTCACTGACTATCTTTTCACACAGGAGGCTCAGAGTCTGCGATATCTGATGTAAGTTAACACCGCACTTGATCAACAGATGATTTTTTTTGTTTGGTCAGATGTAATTTATGTGTGCTTAGTTTGTGTGGTGTACTCGTTTTATATGTGATGACAATCTCTTTGTGCTGTCCCAGCTCCAGGTGCCATCCCTCGGCCCATCCTCATCTGACTGGTCTTGGGACCGTGAGGAAGATCGCAGGCGTCAGGAGAAGTGGCAGAAAGAGCAAGAGCGCCTCTTAAAGGTGACTCCCTTTTTACAAACATAATCTGTTTGCTGGAAGGCAGAAGTTTTTTACAGTGCTCTTCTGAATAAAACTGTTTAGGAGCAATACCAAAGGGACCAGGAGAGGCTGGAGGCCGAGTGGCAGAGGGCACAGCAGGATGCAGTGGAAGGCAGGAAGTCCGGGGTAAGGAGCAGTTTGCGGCCTTGTATTTGCTAAATTAGTTTTAAGAGTTTGTTTGACTGTCAGCTAGTGTCTGCAGGTTTCTTTATTTGTGCCTAAATATGAATTAAGCTGTTTGTCACAAAAACGTAAGTGTGTAACGGTAAGATATGAGTATTGGCCATTGGAATCATAGTGAGCACATGTGAATTGGGTTATTCGTATTTTAGAAGAGACCCAGGTTTGTTCTGACCCAGAAGTGCAGAGGTGTCATTTCTGATTTCAGAAATCTCCTTACATCACAATCTATGTCCTTAGATCAAGACCTGATTCAATCCTACACTTTAAACTGTTAAAACAGCCCCGTCATACATCTATCATCTCAGTATTTTTTTTGTTATTTAGTTAAATAATTGTTTAATACAATATTAGCAAAATACATTTTCTTATTTAATTGTTTTACCTTCAGCAACTTTATCAATCCATTGAACAAATTTAGAAATTGATTTTTTTTTGTCTTTCCAGTTGACTGACTTGGTTTCATTTACAAATTTGCTTTTTTGTCAATTTTGTTTAGCAGAATGAGATGTCTCAAAAGAGCTTTGCCAGTACTACATTTTATGTGAATGGACTCAAGAAAACAGAAGAAAAACTGAGTTCTGACGGGGACGAGCTAAAAGAGGCAGCAACACAAAGAGTGCAGAATGACAAGATCACTGAGAAAGAGTGGTAAATGGAGACTCTTACTAATATAACTTAAATGACTGAAACACCTGTTGTAAAAACATGCCCTTTATTTTTCATGGCTGCTGTGCTTTCTGCTGCTTTTGCCTTATTGCGGCTTACGCTCAAACTTCAGGGCTGAGGGCTCCTATGGCTTTGCTCAGTTGTCCCCTGCACACAGGTTTGGCTTCACTTCTACTCTTTAGCAACTGGCATTAAACATACTCTGTTGATACCTTTTACAATTCAGATTAACATACAAGTTTAACTTCAGTATGATAATATCAAGATGGTCCTGCTGCTAAAAACCGAAATTCTCTGAAATAGTGCTGCCTGTCTTTTTCCAAATAGGGGAAAGTCCTTGTCTACTCCGGTGTTAGCTGGACCTTACATACAGACCGGTTAGTTTACCCTTCCTTTCATGATATTATTTCATTCCCTGTTTGCCCTAGTTTAAACCCAATTGTTGACGGTTTAGGAGATAATTGGAAACGAAAAGGACAATCTAAAGCTGAGCAAGAGAGGCAGCAGATTTTAGAGGAGATGAAGAAAAGGACTCAGCTTCTGACAGACAACAGCTGGATACGTCAGCGCAGCAGCAGTTTTCATAAGGAACCCATCTGTGTCGGTGTTTCCATGAAAAGGTAGGTCCTGCATCTCATCCAAACTGGATTCAGAGTTGACCATAATGTAGTGGCAGGAAGTTGACAAAAAGCCAACCATTTTCTGAACTGTTACTTTGACAGATATGAGTCTCTGGACAACCTGGATGCTCTGCGTCAGCCGCCTGACTCAGCCAGCACGTTCTCGTACTCTCGCTCACACTCGGCTGCCGGAGGCTACTGTGCTCCAACTAGGAATGCCTCTTCCCGCTACAGCACTGGATCCATATCATCACAGAGAAATGCATACACAGAGTCCTCGCATCATGCAAGGTAGATGAACCTTTGGGATTTTGTTCTGTCTCATGCAAGTGATTTCTGGATTCAGGTCTCACAGTATTGACATGTGCTGCCCCAGGATGGTCAGTGGCAGGAGGACTTGCTGTGTGTGTGAGCGTGTGCTGGGTAGTGGGGCGGCCATGGTCATAGAGGCCCTTAGTCTCTGCTTCCACCTTACCTGTTTCCAGGTAAGAAGTCAGGACCCGGCTGAGGGTGTAGTCCTGATAGTTGTATCTCCTATAAATATAAGTGCTAAATGTGATCACACATTTGAGGCCCCCAGGTGTCTGATCCATAATCATGCTTCACGCAGCTTCTAGCTTGATAGTTTTCTGTGCTCTTGGCTAACCAACCTGTTTTTATTTTTGTTTTTTTTGGTGAAACATCTGGGCTAGTTGGTTCTTTTGACTTTTTTTTTTTTTTTTTTTCATTGCAATTAAAGAGGGGGGGAATAGTGGTTTACTGTTGCACTTTGCTTTTAGAAGTTCATTGTGAAAGTCTCACTTGCAGGAGATCCCCAGATTTAGACCACTCAAGTTCATTAGCATGGAGATGTTGGTTGGTTCACTACCCTGGGTCCCTGCTTCTAGTTATGTTCCAAAAAGTAAAATATTGCATGAATTATTTCTATATTGTGCTTTCATACAGAAATAAATCCTTGTTGTTCTTTGCTTGGGTGGCGGACACTTTGAAGCGATCAACATAAAGGTCCCATGTTAAAAGTGACCAGAACTCTTAAAGTAACCCTGATCCTTTTCTTCCACTTCCCCTCAGTGTGTTGGCTGCTACCGACGTCTGGGAAGAACAGAGGCTGGAGTCCAGGTCCGCATCCGTGACAGGAAGCCCTACTGCGACTATTGCTATTTCCAGCTCAAATGTAAGTATTGACACCGACTCACACTTAACGTTGATTTTCTCCTTTTAACGCCATGTTGAAATAAATACTTAACCATATGTTGTAGAGTCTGCAGTCCCCGCCATGTGACCGTCAACCTGTGCTCAGGATTGAAGAGTAAAGGCTATAACTAGCAAAGACTTTAGGGGGGAACTATCCACCTTGCCAATTCCAGACATTATTTTCTAATTATTGGTAAGATTTAGGTCATGTAAAAGAAAATCTTTGACATTCTGAGGATTCACAAGTGATATAGATTCTTGGTGGCTTATTTTTCCAGGTCATACTTAGTTCAATGGTTTGTTTCCTGTTTATTTAATTATTAAGATAAAGTTTAGATTTAATATATAAAGTAAATTTGGCAGTTGTAAATGCAAATTATTTATGTGTTGACTTTGGAAGTTGGTCACATCACTGTGTACCGTCTTCACTCTTTACCTTTAACAGTGCATTAAATAAAAATTTAGAAATGGTAAATTTGACTCACTGAAGCAGTTTCTGTTGAATTGTTAAAACATATTATGCATGCATTTCACTTCTGGTATTAATTGGGATTTTTTGTAAATAAAGCGCACTGATCATAATCCAACAGGGTTTTTAATTTGTTCATTTGTGAACCACATGGTGGCATCATTGGTCTGATAGAGAGGCTGATACTATCCTTAGAAATGTAAATATTTTTGATATACTGAAATGTCTGATATGCCACTATGCCATACTTTTAATGCTTCCTGTAGTTTAAAATAAATATCCTTAAGATTTCAGAGATTTTATTATGTTTTACTGACCGTTGATTGTTGTGTAAAAAGTGAGGGCGGAAAATCTTGAAGAAGGAAAGGGAAACGGAAAAAAAAAAAACATAAATATGATTATTGAAAGGCCAGCATAACTCCTACCCACCCTGATTTAGGACTGAGACTGGACTTTTGTTAATCATCCAGTCTGTTGTGTTATGCCACAAGATTGTGTTAAGTAGCAACATTTAGGAGAACTACAACAGGAATGGTTTCAACTGCTTTGAACAATGTACTGTGAAATTCCTTTCCTGTAAAATGCAAAGGAAAACCACAATTTTTTGTTCAGGTGTCTCAATCACAGAATATATCTCACAATTATTTATTTTCATCACTGTGGTGTAGTTTTTCACCATCAAACTCTGTGTTTTCTGTGGTGGTTCCCTGTGCCACCAAACCCACAGCATCATATGGTGTGGGTTATTTAGTTTTGTTTCTATTCACAAGAACTAGATCTAAGATCAGTAAGATGGTTTTGTGAGTGCTTTTAAAGAAGAGTATAATTACATGTTTATACTGAGCATCTGAAAAACTTTAAGCTTTGATGTACCCAGATGATTAGTTAGCAGCGCTACCAAATTAATCAGTTTAATTTGAATTAGAAAATGGTGACAATGTAGGCATATGCCTTTGATTTGCACTGTGCAAATGAAACTGCTCTAAAACCATTTTTATGCTGGTGCAATACAGAGAATGCTTTGTGTAATTTAGGGACCTAACAGGAAACTGAAGCAAAACCAGGCCAACAAAGAGGAAGAAGAATTTTACTGCCCTCAGGACTTTCAGGGGCAAAGTTCCACGCTCTGAAATGTTAGATTAAGACTTTGACGTCTGCAATTAAATATAGTTGTTGTGTGGTGACCCCTTCAGAAAAATCAAATTTGAGAATCTACATTCAAAAGTTCCCAATGTGTCATGAGGCTACTTTGCTTGGGTGTAGGCTTTACACCCAGTAGCAAAATGGCACAAAGGCATTACTTAGAGCAGCATTGTGTAAATGAGGAAGTGGCAAAATTGCAAATGATTTATCTCTAAATCCCACAGAACTAAATAAAACTGCTGCAAGAAAACGCAATACAGCTCAAAGCAGGGGCTGTATCAGTGCCTCACCGAGCGATTGCAAAGAACTCCAGTAGATGACAGTTTCAACATTTGTAATCCAGTGTTTTTTTTTAAAGTTAACTGTGACCTGGTCGTTTGCAAGAGTTCACTTCCCCAAAGGCATGAGCACAGACATTTTTCACTTTCTGACATGCTGTATCTGTTTTGGATGACACTTGTGACTCCTGCATGACCCATTTAAATATCACAAGCACAGAGAGGGTCAAATGAAATGGAAAAAGCATATAATGCAGTTAGACATTTGTGTGGATTAAACTCTGTGTCGTATGTTCCTCTTCATATGGTAACCTTACTAATTAACATTTGCATAATCCTATCCATACATCAAAATGTTGTCATGTTTATTCTCCAGTAATCATTGATCCATATGCATTTATTATCAACCTTGACAGAAATAGAGCTGCATTTTAAATCTATGTGATTTAAACTTGAGATTTGTAATGATTGCTTTATTACAAATGAAGAGTGCTGGTTTGAGCCTCACCACATTGTCAAGAGCTACTGTCTTTTTTTTTTTCTCTAACGCATGATCCCTGAGTGGAAAATCATGACCCTGCTCTTCATTAAGGAATGTAAAGAATTTTTAGGGTTCATTACTTCCTTTGGGTAAAGGAAAGTTCCTAAAGGTTATTATTTTTAGACTAGAGAACATTGGAGATTCCCTGAAATTTTTTATGAGACCAGAGGAAATTATCTTTCATGTTTAACCTCATCCCCCAAAGTTTGTGAGAGGTTCTTTGTTTAGTTGGCCTCGCTTTATGAATCATTTGTTTCCAGGCTCAATGCTCTGTCCTTGTGCGTTGCCTGTTAAGGAAGCGTTTTGACATTTTATGTTAATCTCATGTTTAGCTTTGCAGTTGGGGTATGCAAAGGCTTTTCTAACAGCAGGTCACACATCTGAACACTAATAAACTGTCACATTGACACTGTACCACCTCCTCTGTGTATGCAGTCTCACAGGAAACAACGATGATGAGGAAACGCTTTTGAGTCTGTAAAGTGACACAAACAGCCCTGTGTCAGTCAGCGTTTGCACGCGCATTCGGCTGGTTTAGGAAAGAGTGGGTGGGTCTGAGCCTTGAAGATATCTCTGTCCTGCGAGTGAAACATCGCTGCTGAAACATTATCCAGATACCAAACGGACAGATACAGCTGTAGATGTCCAATATTTAGAGTCTTAATGCATATACAAAGGCTGAGAAGATGAAAACTGAGGCCATCTGGGGCCTGGGATTTAGCACACTTTAAAGGTCTTCTAGTGTGCCCAAGTTTCTGTAGCCTATATTGTAACAAATGCTCACGATTATGTGCTTACAATGCAAAATTTCCTGCAATAACTAGGGCTATATCAGCCTTTTCCTTCCTGCCTGCCGATATGAGCCATAAAAGTATCCTGTTAAGTCCTATCCCTTCAAGCAGCCCAAGTGGAATTCATCTCAGTATTTCCAAAACAGCGTATATTAGTCATTCTCAAGTGTTTCCTTTCAGATTACCAAAATCCTCAAAGAGAGAGTGTGGGTGGGAAGCACATTCACACCCAGCATTTCAAAGTGCAGCTGCCTCTTTGGGATGAGAGAAATAAACCCACGGATGAAGGTGCACCGGTTGGTTTAATTCTGACTTGGCATTCAGTCAGTAACACATTCCTGGATGAGTTTATGTAATGACTCTAATTAGGGTTAGAAGAAAGTTGTAGTTAGGTGGCATTCAGAGCTGACAGTTTCGAATGTTCCTGGTTGCAAACAAAGTTAGTATGAATGGTCACTTCCTTGTTAGCTTTAGTCATTAACCAGCTAAATTATGTTGACTATAGTTAAAAATGTAAATGTATATGTTTAAAGATGGAAAATCAATCATACTCAGGTTTGAAACAGCCTCACAATGCAACCATTGTGTTTGTGGTCTCTTTTTCCACAACCACTCAAGAATACGTGTTCTTTTAACACAGTGTGTCCACTCACTGGGCAGGTAGGGATTCCTTTACTTTACGAGATTCTTGTTACCTTGCCAACAGCTGGTAAACAAACTGATGCACTGCAGGGCTTCTTCTTTTCTTTCCTCTGTCCATAGAAAACATCTCCCCAGGGGCCTTTGCAGGGTTACCTTTCGCATATCAGCAGCTTCCGCCTGTAGGTTCACTTGTGCTGCCTGCTGATGTAAAGCAGCTTTGTGTTCTTTTTTTTCTCTGTAAAACCTTTTCCTCTTGTAAAGGAAAAAAAAGGGTTGAGTGTTCTGACCTGAGCTGTATGTATTCTGCTGTATGTGAGAAGGAGAAGCCCATAAAAGGCATCAAACACACACACACACACACACAAAAAAATGCCACTTCTTAAAATTCATGACGTAGAGAAAACAACAAAGTGAAAACGAATGTGGCCTTAACACAAATCCTACAGGCACACGTTCACATGCTGAGGGATGATGAGGTAATCCGGCGGACTCTGAATTGGCTCCTTTCGCGTCTTGCCCTTTCAAACGGCCCTGAGAGAGCGGGAGAGAGGAGCCGCTCCTGTGAAAGGAAACCCGCGGCAGCAGCAGCAGGGGAGGAGGATGCTCCCTCTCTTCCTCTCTGTTCCCCGCAGCTGATCGATGCTGGCGGCCTTTTGCCTTTCAGCTCACCGGCACGGTGCGAGGCTCAGCTCTGTCACTGGGAGCTGCACCAACCTCCGGACTGCTGCTGGGCACCGGGAGCAGCTCAGTGGAGGCTGGCGACATTTACACGCTTCCCCCTGCCCAACCGAAAAAAAAAACAAAACGCACAGAAACGAGGAGCTCGAGCTGAGGTATTGGCCTTAATGGAAATGGATAGTTGTCGAGGCTCCCAGCTCGGAGTCTCTCCGTCTGTAGCTACTTCTGTCTTCTGTCCTCCTCACAAACGACGTTCAATCCTTTCCGAAGCAAATATGTTCCATTCAGCAAAACGGTTAAGATGAACATCCAGGAAAAGTATTCATACACCTCAGGGTAGTGTTTTTGCCATCAGCTAGCTGGAGATTAGTTTATTTATGAAGGGATTTCAGCTAATCAGTGGCATTCTAAAGGAAGAAAAACACACAGACATTCCCCCAGGCATGCATTTATTCTGTAAGTCCACAATGTGTCTCCTCAGAGGTTTTAAGAGCTGTTATTGGTAAATAATTGATCTAAGAATGTCACAGCTGTACGTTTAAGTAGTTATTTTTGTTTAAATGTCTTTAGTTTGTCAGTTGTGCACATGATTCAATGGGCAGGGTTTTAAAGAGAGTACAGGTTTGACTGGAGTTCTTTTTGCTTTCACCTTTTGAGTTAATGATTGAATTCTGTTCTCCACTCAAACACAAGCTCCTGTGAGCTGAGCACAAAACGACTGCAGCAGTCCGTAGCAGCGATAAAAGAAGAGACAGATCGCAAAAGTGAATCATGTCACCGAGCGAAGGAACAGAGTTGCTATGGATTAGTGTGTCCCAGGTGGAAAGCCTATCTGAGTAACAGACCGAGGGATGGACCGCAGTTTAAAAAGTTTTTCTGGCAGACTTCAGCTCAGAAACAGAAAGAGAAATGATCTACAGTTAGACAAAATCCCATGAAAATGTCAGCGAGTCGAGGACAGTTTGGGCCACTGATGGTTTCACTGTTTGCTAAAACCGACTTTTAATAATGTTTTTAGGACTAATGGTGAGCTGTGATCTAAAACTTTTGTCTCTTTGGTTGAATATATTTCACATGCATGGTATTTTGCAGCATAAAAAATGTCTTTGGAGATTTAAGTTTGTTTTGTTTGTCTTCTTGTATGTGAAACTGCTTTTGCACTGTGAAGCAATGTGGGCATGAAGACGTTATATTGTAGGAATGTGTTCTTTTGTTACAGTTAGTTAGCTGAACTGTTCCATCTACTGTCTATTGTTCGTGCTATGCTAGTCCAGTGCTAAATAAATTATATCAATGTGTAACGATTCCTCTCTAACCATGCATGAGTATGCTAAAGGTTAAACCTTTCTTTTGAAATAAGTAGATCTATTCAGGTATTATATCTATATAGATCATTACGAAAATTCCTAAGTACCATGTGACCTCGGCCTGATGTTTTCAGTTCAGATCAACATTCCTGTGACAGGTCACATCTCTGGACATATGAACTACTTTCTGTAAAAGATCAACCCTTAAAAAATGTGAGATGAATACATCTAGGGTTAAAGGTTATTTTTGTTTTGGAGCTGTTTCCATTTGACACTGGTTTTATAATCTCTCCGCTTTGCCTAAATTGTCTGTTGGAGCTGATCAATCAATGTCCACCGCAGTTAGAAAAGCAGTCTATATATAAGAATAATATTCTGTTTATACACTTAACACTTTAGCCTCAGTGTCAGGTTTTTTTCTTTTTCTCTCTAATACTTCTCTGGCTTTACTTTAGCCGGGGTTTTAATGCAGGATTTATTAAGGCTCTATGTCAACGACTTTTCTAATGTAACTAATACATTCATCACACATATAAATCCAGTTTAGGGAGATTTGTCCAGGATCAAGTGTTTTTTTAATTAACTCCAACGTGCCCCTGTATATTGTCTTAATGTAAACTTCAACAGATTTAACTGCTTTGCTATTTGCTGGTTGTTAATAATTGGGGCTTCAGAAAGGCATGGGATCAGCCCTATTTAGAGGATCAGCTGATATCACCCTCTGAAAAAAAATCCTCACCCCTGCCCTCTGCTTTGTCAAAGCCTTCAGATCTTCTTTGGATTTTCTTTTTTTCTATTGTGAACAAGGAAAACAAAAAAATGACTCGGAGGTTCGGCCTTATTAAGTCCACTTCAAGCTTGTTTCATAATAAGTGATTGAAGAAGGCTATAGTACGGTTAAATGAAAGTAGAGCAAAACGAGAACTAACACCATTTCAGATGAGCTCTCCAGTAAATGGGACATTTTTGATAACATGGAAATGAAAGGAGAATGATGTTACATTTGGCAAAGGCCAATCCTTTTTCATTATCAGCTCCCACACCTGATCTAGACAAAGACCAACACGGTCTCCATTAATTATTCATGTGAACTGTGTGATGCGTCTATATTAGAGGAGCTGGAGTTAAAAAAAAAGCAAAAAAAAATACAATTAGAAAAAAGCAAACAGAATTAATGACACGCAGGTCGCATTCAGCCGCAGATAGACTGTGAAGGAAAGTGTGAAAGATTTATCACATTTGAAGCTGATATGAAGAAAGCCAGCATGCTGGTGTTATCTCCAGCTCAGTAAATTGGCTAATTTGGCTCCCTTTATCTTTCTCCCTCCTGCGCTTTTGTGTATTCATAAGCGTGTATATGTGTGTGCCTGTGTGTACATTTTTAGCATTTGGTGACAAGAGTTTTATTGGAGGCAAAAAATAGCATACATTGAGTGAAATGTGTTTGGGAGGTGTTTCATTGCCAAGGACACAAATCTCTCTGTGTCTCTCTCATGCACAGGACAGCTTTACAAAAGAATGCTTGACAAGGACTCATAATCGCTTCAGAAAAAGGTCAGTGGAATGACAATTATGTTCCTTTCTTTTTTTTTTTTCCAAATTATCCTCATGGTTTCATGTCGTTTCTGTGAAAAGGATTTGGCGTCCTGGACCCTCAGAGACATGACAACTCCTTCTCGTTTTTTTTCTCAAAGTGACACGCGCACAGACACACTCATGAGCCCAGTTCTGCTGAGCCTGGTTTGTTTTATTTTGGTCGTTTCTGGAGATGGCATTAGGGGAAGAGTTGTGGTCACTCCTTCCTTTTTCCCGTCCAGATGGCGGCATCAGCTGACGGCAGATACTAGGGCTCTTGTTTTGACACATCAATCTTTGAAGCTCCTTGGCAGCATAAGTGTGCATGTGGGTGGCCAAAGGGTTTTCAGAGCACGAGCACGCGCACGTTTGTTTGTGTGTGCTCTTTTTTTCTTCTTTTAAATTTTGTGGAACACGCCATCATATAAAATATCATATTCCAATTGGAATGTTTCTCTTTTCTGATCTTTATTTAGCACATTTGTATTCAGGAACACTCTGAAACAGCCCACACAAAGCCTTTTTTTGTATTAGACCTGATCCTGGGATAGCTTGGATTTGTGCCCTAGGATCCCACAAACAGACATTTGATTACTGTACTTGTCAGCCAAAGAGAACCCCCCCCCCCTCCTTTCCTATCCTGCCCAGAGGAGATAACAGACCCTGTCTGTCTGCTCTCGCAAAGCCACAACCAAGTTGTGTTATTGGCTGCAATGCGTGGGTTTTGGCTTTAATGTTAGCCAGAGTTGGACAGAACTTGCTACACAAGCCACTTGGGGATGATGGATCTCTATTAGAAGAGCAGAGAATGCATAAGTCCCACTTCCTCAGTTTGGAACAAAATGCTCCGGCTTCTTTAAATGAAGACAATCATCTTTGCATGGTAGTGCTGTCTGTGGCTGACATCAGCCTTTAACTGGAAACATGTGGGTTGATATCTAGAAGCGTATGAATAAATAAAAAAAGGTTAAAAGTAAAAAGTAACTGTCATTCACAAGATCTTAATCCTGTTTTCTCCATTCAGCAACTTTTGGCTTTATGACATGGAAATGTCACATTTTAAGTAAGAAAATACTAATCTATTGGTCATTGCTCTATGTCTACAGGGGAGGCTGCTGTTTATTTTTATTTTTATCAGTGTTTATATTAAATGAAGCTTTTGTGCATGAGGTCAGTCCTGCTGGCTGCACAAAGGGATTCTGGATAAAAACCAAATGTTCAGGGGGGATGGGGGGGGGTAAACTTTTCTTTGCTAGAGCACATCGAATCCTGGAAATCCCTCACAAAGACACCCTTTAATTTCACCACACAAAAGAAGGATACGGCGGATGTTTCTGACAGTTTCTCTTTATTTTCTTTGCCAGACATTTACAGCAGGTTGCACAAAACGAGTGTTACCTTTTCAAAAGAAGTGTCTGATATAATAATCTGATATAAATCAGCTTAAACAAAGATAACGTGGTAAGAAACACCTACAGAAGCAACTTTTTATTAAAATACACAATTTAAAGCTGAAGATTGACATGAATATATGAAGGCAGAGCTGCAGGAGAAAAGTAAAGCAAATTAACTCTCAGTAGACCAAACATGTTCTCTGGCGCCCTTCCTCTGAAGTCCCAACTGCAAACCCAGCATCCCCAAACCTCTCCATAGATGCCAATTCCAAAAGTCCCAGTTAAAATAGTAAAAAACCTGAACCCTGTGGGCCATGACAAAAGCTGGGACTCTACTTGAAAGCCACGTCGTCTTTTCTCCTCACGGTGAGCTTTCTTTTGGCAGAGCAGAGCAGGAAAATTGGCAAAAAAAAGGGTTCAAACTCTGGCTGAACCCCTGCCGATGGAAGCAGAAAAAAAGTGACAAAGACGCAAGAAACAAAGCCGAAGCCGGTGATGGATGGATGGATGGAGATCTCTGTACACACTATAGTTGGCTGATATGCGCTCAAGCAGGGGAGAAAGGCCGCTTCACCGGGAGAAGATGTACTCGGTGTAGCTGGTCCACAGTTTGTCCTCCCCCGGGTCGTTGCTCCCGTAGGAGCAGGTCCCGGTGGAGTTGCAGGCCACCATGTGGAAACCCGTCTCGGCCAGCCGGTCGAAGGCCTGCTCCAGAAAGTTATACTTCAGGTAGTACCTGGAGGTGTACTTGTCCGGGGGCCTGTCCGGGTCGCGGCTCTCGTTCAGGGTCTCCCCGAAAACCTCCTTGGCCAGAGAGATCTTGCTGCACACGGTGATCCTGGCCACCCTGCGGAACTTGGCGTCGGCCTGGATGTCCCTGCCGATGGTGTAGCTGCCCCGGTACCCGATGGTGATGTACCCGGAGTTGTTCCCTGGAGAGCGCAGGGCTCTGTCCGAGGAGGAGGAGGGGGAGATGGTGGTGGTGGTGGTGGTGGTGGTCACCGGGCTGGTCAGCTCGGCCTCCTCCGGCTCCCCGCCGTCCGGCTCCGCGTAAGAGCCGTCCTTGCTGACCGCCGCCAGGCGCCTGGACAGCTCGGGCAGCTGGAAGAAGTCCGCCTCTTTCCGCAGCCGCTTCCTCTCCTTGAAAAACTCCGGCAGCAGAAGCTCCCTGTCCCGCAGGTAATCCAGAATGTACCTGAAGAGAAAGCCGTCCCGGTCGAAGAAGAAGCGGCCCTTGCTGTCTTTGGCCAGCTGCCCCGGCGCGCTCTGCGTAAACTTGCTCCACAGCAGAGAGTTGGGCACCGCGGTCAGAGTGTCCAGACTCGTCACATACACCTGACCGCCCACGTTGACCTCCACTATCTCGGGGAAACTTTGGCCGTCGGTTTGCGCCATCTCTGCCCCCCCCCCTCTCCCTCTTTCCTGACTCCGGTGCTGCGTCTGGCTGCTGCTCAGAGTTTGGAGCGCGTTCCCACCGAGCAAAAATGTTTATAAAGGTTCAGGCAGGCTGCGTGGGAGGAGAAGGGAAAGAAAAAAAAGGACGGCCAGCAGCAGAGACATTAACCGTTCAGCGGAGGGGCTCTGAGAGAAAACACGACGCTGCCTTCAGGGACTCTCTGTACGACTCAGCTTCAAAGTTGAAAAGCTGTAAATATTCCCGTTTTGCGTCATGTGATATTTGAAGAGTGACTCCAACAAAGTGGGGAGTGATTCTCGTTACGTTGATTTATTTGTTGGTCGTAAATTCAGCAATCACCCGAGGTCTCAGATTAAATGGAATAGGATCCTTAATGTTTGGCTGATGTAGGGCGTAATGGGATTTTAAAATGGTCCCAAAACGTCCAGACTCCAAAGCCTTAGAATTTACTGTGCCTATTGTTCACAAAAAATAATTGTGGGGAAGTTGAAAATCTGAGCTCGTACACTCACATGTGTAACAGGATGTTTTTCTGCAGCAGCATGTTCAAAAGTAACAAAGAAAGGAGAACAAACTCCAGATCAGTAGGTTTTTATCCTACACATGGCTGCACACATTTTAACACCGTGTATTTGAACACATCCTCTCCTGACCAGGAAAAGATCAACTAGAGAAATGGGAAAGGTTTTTCAGAAACTTTCCTTTAGTGTATTTGAATTTCTCATCAAAACACATGATCTTCATTACAGTTCTCTGTGAACTCTTCATGGAACTCATATCAGAGTTGTCTTTTCCCAGTAAACCTTTATGAAACCATCTTATGGTAATTTCATAAAGGCAGTTTCACATACTCTAATTATACTGCAGCATGCCAGTGGAAATCTAATAATAATTTGCAATATTAAGCTGATCACCAATGGTTATTGTTTTCACCTGGTTTGCTGCTGTTTTGTTTTATATATCTTTTAAAAAATCAGCAAATTTGTGTAATAATGGCACAAGTACAGTACAGCACAAGTAATCCGTACTTACATATCCATACTTACATTTTTGTACGCTATCATAGTCACGGTATCACTAAGATGAGTGGTGGCCTCAGAGAAAGTAATTTCCTGGTTGCAGGGGTGTAGCATTGTTTATCATGGAAACATTGTTTTTTAAGCTCTGCAAGATTCAAAAACATCCCCAGGCCTCCCACATTACATTTGAGGTGAAGCTGTTTGACAGAAAAGATAAAAACAATGAAAATCCTACCTTTTGTGTGGAGTCAATCTCTGGTATTGAAGAGATACTGCATGCGCGCTGGGGGTCTTTGTGCATCCGCTTTTGAAAAGCAGTGGAAAAAGGTCCAGGTTCAGCACAGATTATGCACTGAAAACCTCCCTTTAAAAGATGAGGCAGAGCCGGTCTGATCGATCAACGACGTCTCCTAAATCTTTGAGAGGAGGGTAAACTTTCCCTTAAATTCCCCAAAGTCTTAACACTGAATTGATTCCAGCTTAATACCAAAGCTGCCTTTGATCTAGTGTTGCAGTGCAGAGTAGACTGTGTGCAAATCTCAGTCCACACATAAAGTTGTACGCAGAGACACGCACCATCACTCAGCAAAAGATGAATTGGTCCATTGTCTCAGATTGGAGAGTTTGCCTTGCTTTATACAGCAACTAAGATGTTTATGAGAGATAAACATCCATTTGTTTTGTAAAAGACAAACAGTGTAGTAATTGAACACATTTAGATTTAGAGGCAGATAAGTAAGCAATAAAGGCTAATTACAAAAGTGTAATGGTGATATTGCTGTGGCGCAACTGCACAGTGTTGCAAATATCATGTAGAGAAACCAGTCTGATATGCAAATCAGGATTGTATCATTTAAGGAAGTGACATCTAAACCTAGAAGCGCTGTTTTAAAGAGACACGCTCCATGTAAAAGTTTACAAAGTCTCTCAAAACTCACAGTTTACATGGGTTTAGAAAGCTCTGGCTACAAAAGACGAGACAAAATCTTTTTTGTGTTGGTGCATTTTGTCATAATCTACTAAACAGCAGTGTAAGATACTTTAAGTCAGAGGGATGTGACCTCATTAGCTCTGACTGAAGCAGCTTTGTGATCTGATACAGTCCAGCTGCTGCTACTGATCCTGAATAATGCTCTGCAAGCGTCCTGCTCTCTGTATGACAGTAAGTAAACCGCTGCTGGCTGGCAACACGACAAACTTCCATTTTTCATCCTCTCTGTTTAACGCGCCCAGCCTCAGCCTCTGGGTTACAGGGACACCTTGTGGATAGTAAGCACATAGCACATAGCATACAACAATGCATCACTAACACAGGTCACTGGATATATAGAGCAGATTCAAAGTGTTTACCTGGCCACATGCACGGTTCGCACACACAGATACACAGCTGTATCACACACTGATGAGAAGATTTTTCTTTATAAAAAAATGGTTGAGTGTGTCCTCTTTTTCACTTCCTGAGCTCCAAATTGTCACCTCTGTCAAGGCTCAACCCGCAGTGTGTGTGTGTGTGTGCGTGTCTTTGCCGAAACAAGGTTACACTTTTTCCTGCAGGCTTGCAGAGGATAATTGGATAAGAGCGGTTGTAAGGTTTTGCTAATCCAGCATTTCCGAGTAAAGTATGAAGGCTGTCAAATGTATAGCAACTTGTTTAATAATCAAGATCAGATTGTTCAGTCTGTAAAAGCCGGCCTCTCTGAAACCTGTCAGTTAATCTGGGCCTTAAAGCCTCATAGTCTGATGTGAGAAATATTTCGATTTAACGTTCCAGAGAATTATGAATTCCGTCATTTAAAAAATGCATTGGAAAAGGTGTTTGAGTTCTAAATTATGCCACCTAAAAAGAAATCAAAACCCAAAATAATTACAGGCATAAAGTACAAACCAGATTACATCAGTTCATTAGGCTGGAGGGGTCCCTCTACCTTCAGATAACCATACAATAGAGGAATTTAACTGTGAGGTAGAAGTGAAGGATGAAGGCCATAAAACGGGTATAACTGCAACTTGTGGAAAAAGAACAAGACCCTGAGGCAGAAGACAGCAGATAAGAAGCATAAGTCAAAGAAGAGACCGCACACAATGTGCACCAAGTGAGGAGATACATTGTCACGTCTTGTTTCTAAGTCAAATAGGTGCATTTCATTAATTTTTTGCTTATTCCACCTCATTTTAACCTAAAAGAAGCAGATCTCAGTATGATGTAAGTAGCTTTGAACGCTAGTTTTGAACGCTCTCACACATCCAGCTTTTTTAAAAATCATTAATGTTACACAAATTTGCATGCACATGGTATAGAATCATACTCACAAATGTCATGAACATTTTCAACTGTTCTTCATCTACATTTTGAAGAAAATTTTAGAAGAAAGTGATCTCCTCTAATTTCTTTTGCCCCTAGTAAACAGAAAAAGATACATTTCAATTTCAAAGTCCTGTTTTCTCTGTAAAAAGATCATCAAAGAGTGTGAATGTGAAAGTAACAATATACATTTTCATAAAAATATATAAATATAAATTGGATCTGCTGTTGAAGGTAATATAAAATCCTTTTTGGTGTCAGTTTAGCCTTTGGGAATGTAATGTTAATAGAAAATGCTGTAGCACTTGAGCCATTACATACTGTTGGTAGTGTTAGCATTGTACTTTTTAAAATGTGTGTCAATCCATATTCTGATCTTTTTCCCTAACTTCTTACGTGTCCCGGGGAGACTGTTAATTTTCTCAAATATATAAGCAATAGAAAAACCTTAAAGAATCTACTGAATGTCATTGTCATAAAGTTTGTGTTGAAAATGCCATCATATAGCTATTTCACCATGCCCACTGTAATCTGGACAAAGCAGGCACCATGTTGAGGAACGTGTTCTTTGATTTCTCATGCGCTTTTAACACACCTTACGAACTGTTTGGTAAACAACTGCAGGAAATAAAGCAGCTGTGGGGTGTATCAGTGGTGGACAAGAAGCTAAGAACAGAGCTGGTATCCCAGCAACCTGGATGTGGGTAAAAATTGTCCATCCATTCATTTTTTATGCTGCTGATTCCCAGTGGGGGTCATAGACAAAGAACCACACACACTCACATTTACTCCTAGGGGCAACTTAGAGTGTCCAATTAACCTAACATGACGGTGGGAGGAAGCTGGGGTACCCATAAGGAACCCACGCAGTAGGAGGGAGAACATGCAAACTCCACACAGAAAGGTCCCGGTTCCCCGGGGACTCGCGGTGAGGCCACAGTGCTAACCAGCACATCGTGGTGCCGCTCCGTGGGGAGTATCACCACACCTTTAATATGACCACAGATTTTATTAGGACCAGGAGAGATCCACTGATTGTTTCCAACCTGGGAGAGAAGGTGAATGTAGTTGAGGGGCCATTGACACCTGGTGGTTTACCCGGGCAGCACAGAGGGCGACTGAACAGACAAAACCTCGGGCGTGGGCCCTTCAGCATCTGAAACCACATGTTGCACCTCCTCTCATAGTCCTGAGGAGGGTGTAATCTGCTTACATAGCAGCATCAGTCTGTGACTCAAAGAAACTGAACACCCTGATAAAGAGGGCCAGCTCTGCTGCAACAAAGATTGATGCAGAGGGAAAAACAGTGGACAAGGACAGAAAAAAAAAAACAGATAGTCACCCAAGACCGACAACCATGCACAGTCACACTCACCACTTTGGCCAATTTGGAGTCGCCATTTAACCTAACAGAGGTGATTCTGGATGGTGTGAGGAAGCTTTCTTTCCCACTTTGAAAAACCCTTCAAATACTGAAGAGCCTCATTAAAAGGTTCAAACACCCTCTCTAAAATGTCTGTGTCCTCATATGCCATCCAACCTGTTAAAAACACAACGATGTGTCAGTTAATTGTTGTTGCAGAATTAAAGAATAGTTTGTAGGTGTAGGGTTGGAGAACAGTTAACAGACTTAATGATCAACAAAGTTTTTAAAAAA